AGAGGGTTTGGTAAAACTAAGAACATTATTTCGAAGGCCTGAAATAATAATATATGCATGTCTTTAATTGATGATGATGATGATGATGATGATGATGATGATGATGATGATGATGATGATGATGATGATGATGATGATGATGATGATGATGATGATGGTTTCCTAACGAAACCCTACGATGGCGAAACGTTGAACCTATGCAAATTTGTAAAAGCTCTACAGTCTCCTCCATTTTTGGGGTCTTTTTCAGTCTATATGATGATGATGATGATGATGATGATGAAACCCGCTTATGGATGAAACACTGAACTGTTTTTGATACAACAAAAATGTTTAAATTATATAATTCACATCTACGTGGTATGGTATCCCATTTTGTGTGTGACGTTTGTGGAGCTGAGGTAAAAAAAAAACCCAACAAAAAACTGGCTGTTGTGCCCTTGAGAATCACAAAGGCGCAGTGCTTCACGTTACTTGATGGTGTGTCTGAGATTCAGAGCACGGACTGAACCGTGACGGAGAGTGCCGGCGCCTGTTGTACTATGGTCTGGTCCCGCCCGCCGTTCCTGATTCATCATTATTTCAACAGAGATTTATGGTGCAATAAGTAGGTCTCGTTCTCCCTGTTCCTATCTCTGTCCCTTTCTCTCTCTCGGTCTGTCTTTTTACCTCTCTGTTTCTTTTTTTCTTTCCCTCTCACCCCCCCCCCCCCCCCAATCGTTTCCTTCCTGATTCATCATTGTTTCAAAAGAGATTTAAGGTGTAATAAGTAGGTCTCGTTCTCTCTGTTACTATCTGTGTCTCTTTCTCTCTCTCTCGGTCTGTCTTTTTACCTCTCTGTTTCTCTTTTTCTTTCTGTCTCATCACCCCCCCCCCCCCCCAATCGTTTTCTTTCTCTGTCTCGTCTATGATTTCATTATGAGTTCCAAGAGTTGTTTTTCCGCAAACTGTCTGTCTTTCTCTGTCTGTCTCATTCTTCCTATTTTTCTGACCCCCCTCCTTTCTCTCTCACCCTAGTTCTTTCTTCCTCACTACTAACTGTGTGTCTCTCTCCCTGTCTCTGCTTTCACTCCTCTATACCGTGGAACTCTATTTCAACGAATTCGTGTTCAACGAAAACTCGGATTCAACAAAAGGAGATGGATTCTTCGTTTTCTTTCTTGATTAAAATCAATAGAAATATCTTTGTTTCAACGAACACAAAAAAGGGCAAGTTCAGATTCAACGAAGTCGCTTGCAGGCTGAACAGTTCCCACTGACATAGCTTCGCTAATTTTCCTCCCGAAAAGACCTCAAATGAGCTAGTACTTGATGAAGCCCACGTGGACGCTCACTGCTCACTGTTACAATCAAGAAATGACTAATGCAATTTGTGAGACATAAAGGTCTTGAACATCTAGCTCTCACAGGCAAAATTGAAGGCAAACGAGGCAGGGGTACACACAGAGCAACCTACTTATGGAACCTAAACAAATGGGTAATGGGGAAAGATCAGGGAAACGTAGCTTTTTTAAAGAGCATCTGAGGAAAGGAGTAAAATGGAAAACCATGATCGCCGATGTCTGTCGCAGATCTGGCACTGAATGATGATGATTATGAAAACACTTTATCTTTTCCTGGTTACCATTCATGAACCGTTATTCGCTATTGTTTATATCTTATGCGACCAAACAGCAACATTCTGGTCTGTAGAATCAAACGTTACCAATCTCTACACAGCAACACAATTTGTTCGGCAAACACTACGTCATAGATGGCACAGGTGTGCAATTGAACGAATCGCCTTTTTGCCCTGTGTGGGCTTTGTTGCGTTCAAAGTATTTTCCTTGAATTTTCCAGCCCTTTTCGGTATGGTATCAAAGTAAAACACGAAAATACTTCTCATTTGAAACCAAACAACTTTTGGTTGAGCAAGAGGAAAAGGGGTATCAAAGCAGGCAACTCAGGGTAGTGTAAAGTAGCCTGCCACTTATTACTTCCCTTTATATTATACATAACTTGCTCGATGTCTGCAATTATCTATACAAAAACCTTAAATTTGCTATAAGGTTCACTCGAATTCAACGAAATTGAACGTCAGGTCTGACGACTTCGTTGAATCCCTCTCCCTCCAGCCCTTCTTTCTCTCTTCCTCTTTCTTTCTATCTTTTCCACTCTCTTTTTATCTCTCTTTATCTCTCTTTCCTTTTGTCTCTCTTTTATCTCTCTTGCTTTTTGTCTCTCTTTCTTTTTTGTCTCTCTCTCTCTTCCTCTGTCTGTCTGTCTGTCTGTCTGTCTGTCTGTCTGTCTGTCTGTCTGTCTGTCTGTCTGTCAGTCTGTCTGTCTGTCTGTCTGTCTGTCTGTCTTTGACTACCATTTCTGTCTCTCTCTTTCTCTGTCTGTCTGTCTGTCTATCTGCCTGTCTGCCTGTCTGTCTGTCTGTCTGTCTGTCTGTCTGTCTGTCTGTCTGTCTGTCTGTCTGTCTGTCTGTCTGTCGGTCTGTTTCTCTCTCTCTCTCTCTCTCTCTCTCTCTCTCTCTCTCTCTCTCTCTCCCTCTCTCTCTTTCCCCCTATTCTCTTCCCCCCTTTCTCCCCCCCCCCCTCACATCGAATCGATCTCACCAGTAACAGTGATGTAACCGTTAGCCTAAAGTGGATGCCCTTTAGAAGAATCGAATCGGGTCGGCTCTGGTGGGTCTGGTTGGGTCGGTTCGGGTCGTGTAGATTAATGACTCTTTAGTGTGCCCTGCGAATAGAACTCTGACTTGCTTCAGTAAATTGGACCCGGATATAAAAGCAGACGAAAATTTGACGTCAAGTGTCAAGTGCCCCGAACACTTGGTGCAGAGAGGTGATATCTGGCACTAGGCAGTGTTGCTGAGCATTTACAACAAAAACTCTTTCAGGTAGGTTCAGCAAGACCACTCTACATGTGAAAGACAAAGGGGTACCCGGCTATAGACAGCGAAAGATCTTGTCAGTTTGTTAGTGTTTGAGCGCTTAATCGGCTGCTTGCACTGTGTGCTTCCCGGGAAGCTGAGAATGTTTCGGATTGTCCTATAGTCTGATGGGGTAATAATATAGTGTAAAGCGCATAGAGCCTGCTGCTGAGCGGGGATATGCGCTATACACATTCTATCTATTATTATTTTTTATTTTATTATTAAAGACTTTTCGACCCAAAGGGACAACTGAACCGATGGGGGAGACCACTTTGATCAACCCTTGAACAGACCACCTCCAGAAAACCAATCAGAAATTCTTCCAGCAAGAAATAACTTCCAAATAGTTACGGAACCACTTTCGAGAGAGAAAATTGCTGCAGCTATAACAGCACTGAAGTCACACAAGGCAGCTGGTCCCGGCCATATACCACCGGAAGCCCATAAGGCAGATAACGATACCTTAGTGGAAATTCTCCATTCTCTATTCGAAAAGGTTTGGCAAGAGGAGGAAATACCATCAGACTGGAAGGAAGGCCACCCAATCAAGCTGCCAAAGAAGGGAGACCTCAGCAATTGTAACAACTACAGAGGGGTAACACTCCTGTCTACACCTAGGAAAGTCTTCAAAAGGATGCTCCAGGAGAGAATCAAGCTGGCAACAGATGAGAAGTTCCGAGGAAATCAGGCAGGATTCCACAAGAACCGATCATGCGTGGACCAGATCGCTACTCTGTGCATCATACTTGAGAAATCGCTTGAATGGAATTCACGACTCGTGGTCAACTTCATAGATTATGATTGGGCAGGGAAACTCTGCGGAAACTCATGCGCGGTGTGGAATACCAGACAAAATCGTCAAGCTTGTGAAGGCCACCTATAATGGAAGAAACTGCAAAGGACAGGACAAAAGGATAGAGAAGTAGAAATAGGATTAAGAAGGTGGCGATGGATGGGACACACCTTCAGAAACCCCAGTAGAAATATCACAAGACAGTCGGTTCAGTGGAACCCACAAGGAGCACGAGGTAGGGGTAGGCCACGGGAAACATGGAGGAGATGTGTGGAAAGGGACATAAGGGAGACGAAGCTCACGTGGAACGAGCAGGGAAGGATGGCCTAGGACAGAGATAAATGGAAGGAGCCTATATGTGGCCTATACCCTGCCAGGGGTGAAAGGCATTGATGATGATGATGACGTTGATGATGATGATGATGATGATGATGATGATGATGATGATGATGATGATGATGATGATGCGACTCGTAGGCTACTAGCCTTATGATTGGCTGTTTTAACCCAAGGGATCAGATGCATCCAAATTGTGACCCAAATAAACAAACGCATTAAATTTTGCAGAATTTGATCAAATTGTGCCATGGTGGTAGCCTTTGTGCCGAACTATGGCCATCCGGTCCGTAGTTCAGCATGATACCAACTTATCTAACGGAGTGTCAACAACAGCCGACATGAGGGTAACACTTGGAATAATAAACTTTGGGACAAATTTTTAACTGCGTCTGGGGTTTTGCGGTTTGGCTCTTCGCCGTCGCAAGCAGGAGAGCGGAGTTCAGTTCCCGAATGAAGATAACATTATAATCGGGCATCTGGGACGTTGTATACCTCTCAACCTGGGTTGGCCATGGCAGGCAGGGTCGCAAGCTTTCCTCCTATACGATCTAAGTTGTGTCGATGGGGGCGTAAATACACCGACATCAGAAAAAATGATTTCTCATACTGAGTTTTGCGTTGTCGTACTTTGGTGCATCGACTTTCTTTCTTTCTTTCTTTCTTTCTTTCTTTCTTTCTTTCTTTCTTTCTTTCTTCCTTTCTTTCTTTCTTTCTTTCTTTCTTCCTTCCTTTCTTTCTTTCTTTCTTTCTTCCTTTCTTTCTTTCTTTCTTTCTTTCATTCATCCCCCCTCCCACCATCTTTACCCCTTCGCACGAGGCCAAGCACTCCGCCTTCGAAATAATGTAAGCTCTAAGTTCGTTTGTTTCCAGACTTTGGCCTAGTAAATCAATAGGACCGTTTTCTTTTGCCCCTCACTTTGTGCCGTCGAGTACACAACAAGACGTGTTTGGAGAGAGCTAAGCAGCCTTTTCACAGGGACACAGAACTTGGTATCATTGCCTGATTGCTGCCGTTGGCAGAATTTTGTAACCACGGGTGTGGATACCACTCAGAACATCATTATCGTCGAGCAGGAATTTGGTAAGCACATATTATAGTTTCTCTCAAATAAGTACATGTAGTTGCAGGCTCCGTAACGTTGCAATACTTAGTGAACTTTTAGAAAAGTGCAGATTTCTTTCGTTTGGTCTGTAAACCTTTATATTCATTATATATATATATATATATATATATATATATATATATATATATATATATATATATATATATATATATATATATATATATATATAAAATATATATGTGGGGAACTGGTAGACTGCATTCAAATGGTTTTCTCAAAGTCCCTTTAAAGTAATATCATAAACAATGACCAAGTTCGGTAATCGGTAAACCGAAATAAGCTCTAAAAACACTTTGAAACACTTTGATTGCACACAACGGACGAGAGAGTAAAGATAATGGCGGTGGGTGGACCAAAATTAGGGTGGGGTTTAAGTTGCTTCCACTTCTTTATCACCAAATAGTAAGTAACAAACAATAAGCCCTAAACAGTACTGCTTTTTCTATACACACGATGAGCCACGGCGTTTTGAGAACCATTCAAACAGGAAGAGTCACCTTTGTCTCCCATCTCTTTGTTCTAGGTTAGATTCTTCTGGCTGAAAAAGTTGGCTTAAAAGTGGTTCGACGCGATTTATAACGCATATTAAATCTCAGTGGCACAAATAGAAACAAGTATACACAGCACTTCAAACATATTACACCTATGAGCTGTATTATGTCGGGGATCGCGAAAAGAAAAACGCACCCAACAAAGGTCCAATGAACGCATTAAATAGGTATCTGTGTCAGTAGGGGAACGTGTGTCTTAAACTTTCACCCCATTGTCAGGGCTATGAGAGCGTGAGCCCTCTGTACCGTGTTCTTTTTTCCAGTCTTCTACCTTTTTACAAGAAGAGTTTCATTGTAGAAGTCCGTGGGAATGGGCTCATCCTTTGCTTAGTCCTAAAGACATTTTATTGGCTGTTAGGTTGTTATAGTTGTAAGCGGTGACAACAGTGGTTGGATAAACGAGCAAGCCATCAAGTTAAGTTTAGCACTCTGTATTCATTGCGTGCGATCTAACGGTTTCAACTGTTTATTTCGGTAAAAAAACCTTTTATTTACTTTGGGATAGAATTTGGGGGGGGGGGGGGGGGGGGTGCTCAAGCCCGTGAGCCCTGCACTACCCTCCGTCTTTAAAAGATACATCCTAAATACAATAGCAATCATGTCGCTTTAAATAGTCAAAGCTGCACTGTTTCTTTTTGTATGCACTTTCAAGAATTTAAGGACGTATTTGCAATTTCTTAGTGGGTTCGGTGAGTAGAGCTGAAGATTTCCCACGATACTGATTTTGCAGTTGGGGGTCTAGTTTATACGAGAAACCCGACTGCCTATTGTTGTTTCCGTTATCCACACAGCTTTGAACTTTTTGCGAAAGTGGACGGTCACAATGTAAAAACAAGTGATATAGGAAACCATTAGGTCAAATTCTAGAACATTTTATAATAATGCTTATCGATTGAATTCTACAACTTTATAAATTCCTAAATTCCATATCTTGAAGATATACTTTTATCAGGTTCTTGGAAATATTGAATGCTCTTAGATGTTGGGGTCTGAAGAGTGTGTACTTTCATTAGTGAAAAGTGGCGCAAATGTCGTCGCTACCAGAATTAGGCCAATATATTATATACAGTGACGTCGGAAATAAACTTGAAAATGTAATCACCCAATCATCGTGTTATAGCCTTGTACTACCCGCTCGCTCATGCAGCATACAAATTTATAGTTAATTAAATTCTGCATCATCTGACAAAATATTCATATTTCACCTATGTTAAGAGACGCCCGAAATATGGTCATTCAAAACTAACCTTGAAAATTCAAGCTAGGCAAAATTGTGCGAAATCGTACATTCAGAGATGCATCAACATTGGTTGAGTGGACTTGTAGAATATCAAATGAAAAAAGAAGGTTATTGTCTGTGCAGTGCACATTATCTTCTGAGGGTATTTTCAAACAGATTGGAAAACAGAGCAGTTACAAGTATAGAGCAAAATCTGGACTTAACAGTTACATGCGTTAATTAGTTTTAATTTCGTTTTTGTTTAAAGAGCTATTTTTTAGCTGTGTTAGACTTTTGGACGCAATCATCTGTCAATGAGGAACAGAGGCCACGAAACTGACATGGTTTAGTGTGGTGTGGGGTTTAAAGAACGAAACCGCCCTCGTGAAAATCACCAAATGGCTAAGTTTAGTGGACTACATCGCGCATGTGCTGGAATGTCATGTCCCTACTTATCATCGTCACAGTGTCTTTCAAGTAGACATCTGCGTGCATAGCATGCCACCAGACAATGCTTGGAAAACCAGATCAAATCAACATTAGAGTGGTCACTTGTAAATAAGCCCCGATATGAATCCTACAGGTATGTGAGGCCCAATGAAACAGCAACTGAAGAAAAGTAAGTTTTCTCCCAATTCAGACCCTTTATTTGCAACTCGCTTTGACAGTTGGGATGAAATGATAAATAATTACAGTGTATGTCCAACATTTAATAGAGTCGATGCCAAAAGGGTTTGCGTGCTACACAAATCCAGTGGCTCTTAAGTAAAATAACAATGAGCACATTTGAATAATATGCCAAGTCAAAGTTTTGTATAGTATTTGTGATTGCTCTGTTTTCCGTTTTTAAAAAAAACTATCGTGTTTATTGTAGATACAAAAATCTTCATTCTTTGGATACGCAATATACATGTATGTCCATTTCTATCAATATTAGTGTTCCTCATAACACGCGGGAAGACAATTTTACGTTTCTTTGCTTTCGCACAATTTTGCCAAGCCTAATTTTCAAGGTTAGTTTTGAGTGATCGTATCTCGGGCATCTATTAACCTAGATGAAGTATTAATGTGTCAAATGATGCAGAATTGATTAGTCTAAATTTAAACTGGTATTCAGCTTGAGTAGGTAAGGTGAGGCTTTAACACGCACGATGATTGGGTGATTACATTTTCAAGTTTCTTGTGGACGCCACTGATGTTCAAAAGACATTTGAAAATGTATTCACTCCATCTTACACTACACTCAGGCAGCATTCCAATCCGAGGCCAAATAAATTATGCATTATCTGACACATTAATGTAACATTTAAGGCAAGAGTCGCCCTGTATAAGGTCACTCAAAGTTAACTTTTTAAGTGCTTTTGTGCTTGGATTGAGGTGCACCAACATTGGTGGAATGTATAATATCAAACGAACAAAGGATTATATATCTCTAATGAGTAATGTTTCATTATGGTAGATTCACCCTCAGATTGAAAAGCAGCGCAGTGGCAAATATCATATAAAAATTGAACTTAAATGTGTTCGTTAGTATTTTGTATGGGAACCATTCATTTCGTGTAGAGCTTGAGCCCATCTGGGCCTGGACTATGTTAGATTTTGGACCGGCTATCTGTATGCCTATAAGCAAGCCCACGGCTTGACTGAAAAGCAGACTTGGGCGGAACCCCCCCCCCCCCTCCAGGCTCCCGCCCATGAATTAGGCCTTAGATATTGTCTGTTGTGAATGTAGACCTACTGCCATTTTCTTCTGTTGCGTCTGCTCTTGATAGGCACTGCTGGCTGTTGAAGGTTATGTGACGTTGATATGAGGTACCCTGCTTGTAATCGTATTTTTGTTTCTGTATGCACCACAGGTATCAAAATCAAAAGTACCACCCCTCCCGCTAACTCCCTCTACCCACAAAAACAACAACAAACACCCTCCCCCCCCCCAAAAAAAAAAAAAGACCCACCTCCCCGGCAAAACAATTCTCCCCCAAAATCAAAGGTTCTCTAAGTAGGTTGCTCTGGGCGTACCTCTGCCTCGTTTTCCCTCAATTTTGCCAGTGAGAGCTAAATGTTCAAGACCTTTATGTCTATTCAGACGTCCTAAAAACTGAATGTGTCTTTTCCTGATTGTGAGCGTCTCTCTCAAGCTGATCTACTACCCCATTTAATTTCTTTGCCTTCTATTCCAAGATATTCTCAGTAGTCTAATAAGAAGCCACATTTCTGTTGCTTCCATTCTATTTTGATTGTCTTTAGTGATTCTCCAGCATTCACAACCACATAAAAGGGCTGACAGCACATTGCATTTCAGGACTTTCCTTTTGGTAGTCGTTGAGATGTTTCTATTTTTCAGGAATGGGCTCATTTTTATTAAAACTAGATCTAGCCGTAGCCATTGCAATTCTTTGTTTTTTTTCTGTGCAGCATTTGGCATCAGACGTCATTACACATCCTAGATATTTAAGCTGTTGGATTTGTTTGATCTTTTCGCCTTTGCTTATGAGATAATATATAGGTTTTGCTGCTTTATAAAAATATCACCCTAATTATATTTTGTTTTCTTTATATTCAACAAGAACCCTTCATGTACACTTTCTGTTACAACAGTATCTCGAGCCGTTTGAAGTTCCCCCCCCCCCACCGAGTCCGCTATTAAAACTGTGTCATCTACATATATGATGTTATTGATATTTTCGCCTTTCAGCTTGCGACCTGGACATTCTTCTATGTTTATAAGAATTTCTTAAGTGTATATTATGTTTAAGAGACTTGGTGTTATAACGCATCCTTGCCTTACTCGTTTTCTAATCGACAAAATAAACAAAACAAAACAAAATAAAACAAAGAAACAAAGAAACAAACAACAACCAAAAACACACCCTCATATTAATAAGTTTTTCTTATCCTTCCAGTCTACGCATCGAACAAGGGCACTGAATGGACGTTATTGTGTGAAAGTGCATGTCTTTACTCAAACCGAAATACATGTACTCAAATAAAGTAGAATGAAGTTTCTCAAGGAGCGAATAAAACTTGAGGGAAAAGTAGACCAAGTAACAAATGCATTGAGGGTGCTTGTGATTTGGATACGTGGATTGCGCATGATTTAAATACCTGGAATGCCCTTGTAGACTTCAAAAGTCAATATCGAGAGCCAAGCACATAGGTAAAAATGGGAAGGAATAGCACAGTAAAAAGGAAAAAGATACATCAACAAAAAGTCACCTTGACAACCCCCCCCAAGTACTGTTGTCTGACACAGCGGCGATCCCGGAATTTGCACAGAGTATAAATGATGTCGAAATGAGGGTGAGAAGTGAGTCAAAGCTACTTTTAACACAACAATAATGTACGTATAACTTTATTTGAAGGACCTCCCTCATAGACCCAAGTAGCACTCTGGTGTAAGAAAACACTGTTGCTCTCACAAAAGGCCCCAGAAGGTATCGGGCAGTGGGGAACAATAATAAAGACAAGTGAACGAAATGAAGTCGTGAAGATAAGCGACTTTGAGTAGGCCTACTGAATATTACATAGACGCAAAGACACGACACACGCACGCAGACAGACAGAGACATATATAAATACGTACTTAAACTTACATTTATCATAAGTGAACACGCATTTGACGAGATTCGCAAACGGTGCGCATCGCAAATGGATATCTATCTATCTATCTATCTATCTATCTATCTATCTATCTATCTATCTATCTATCTATCTATCTATCTATCTATCTATCTATCTATCTAAATAAAGAAAGATAGATAGATAGAAAGAAAGAGAGAGAGAAAGAGAGAGAGAGATAGATAGATAGATAGATAGATAGATAGATAGATAGATAGATAGATAGAGAGAGAGAGAGAGAGAGAGAGAGAGAGAGAGAGAGAGAGAGAGAGAGAGAGAGAGAGAGAGAGAGAGATCACTATCACGCCCCCCCCCCCCAATCACCCCAAAGATACTGAAAAAAAGGAAACAAACAAAAGATAATTTTTAAAAAGGTGAAAAAAGGAAATACAACGCCTAAAGAAGGACAGAAAACTCCGCCCCTTACCATTCCTCGGCATGCCTAAAAATAAAGGAATAGAGAAGGACTATGGAAAACAAGTCTGTTTTCTTTTTAAACGACAAATGTATCATAGCTACACACGTATCTTGACTAAATAGATCGTCCGTGACAAATGAGACATGATTAAAAAATCATGACATCTCAGAATATCTGATTCAGTTTTGAAACCGCTGTTATAATTTCTAACTCTATAACTCTATCCCTTTTAATTTTTGTTCTCCACAACATGAATCATGGATATGACCCCCCACAACATCAAAAACAAACAAAACATGTGATCATGTGACTCCTATTTTAAAAGCATTATACTGGCTCCAAGTGAAAGAGCGTATCATATATAAAATCTGTTTAACTTGCTTCAAGTGCTTAAATGATGTATCACCAGACTATCTAAAACAGCTTTTAACACCCTATGTGCCTCCTAGAACGCTCAGATCATCAAGTGACAAAACAACCCTTGTTAAGCCTAAAATAAATTACAAATCATATGGCCAACGCTTTTTTTCATATTTTGCTCCACTTGTTTGGAATAGGTTTCCAAAAACTATCAGAGAAGCAGAAAATCTAGAAATTTTTAAAAAGAAACTAAAAGCATTTCTATTTTCATCATATTTCGATTAGACAGAATCCATCCAAGCTGTAGATCGTTGTGAGTTTGTATGTGCATATGTGCATATGTACGTTTGTGGGTATGTGTGTATGTATGTGTGTGTGGTGCGTGCGTGAGTGAATATGTGTTTGCACGAGTATGTAACACTATGCATCTTTAAAATTGATTTGTAAATCCATAATATGTATCATGTTAAGCGCATAGAACATTGCATAAGTGGATAAGAGCATATTAAGATGTATGGTCCGTCGGTTCAGCAGGCTGGATTGTTGCTGGATTTATTACCGAGTCCTTGAACTGGAAAAACATAACCCGAGAGCATATAATCATGTGAAATCTGGCATTTAAAACGACTACAAGCATGAGATTCAATGATTGTAAGCATCCTGAGCAACACTCGAGCTGACATTTATTTAGTGTTTACCGAAGTAGAAAATAGAAAGAGTAAAACCCTCCAAAACCCACTGCACCCTTCCGACCCAAGAGAACGTCACTGTCTTTTTTTATTGGAATGTTTCAAGTTCAACGTTAAAATATGTGACTAATAGCACGTGTTTGTGAAGGAACGAACATCGAGAGTCACTTAATTTTCTTTTCATTTTTCCTTTTCGATTTCTTCTTGTCTATTCTTCCTAGAAGTATTCACCGTTTAAAAGAAACAAAACAAAGTCCACACTGAGGCTCTGCGAGGATAGCAGCTGTCTTTAAGAGTTTGACAGCTTTTTTTAAATTGTACGAGTGCGTGTCAGTAATAGCCGAACCAATTGTGAAACTATGTTTCCCGTTGCATGTGTCGTCAGTTCAACCTGCTTTCCTTCAATATAATGGATTACACACATCAGTATATATACATGCACATATATTGTAAAACATGTAAAGTATGTTGCATATATTACATACACACATACACACACACGCACGCACGCACACACACACACACACACACACACACACACACACACACACACACACACACACACACACACACACACACACAGACGCGCACGCACACATACACAAGTCTATCTATCTATCTATCTATCTATCTATCTATCTATCTATCTATCTATCTATCTATCTATCTATCTATCTATCTATCTATCTATCTATCTATCTATCTATCTATCTATCTATCTATCTATCTATCTTAGAACTCATATACAAATACACAATGCAGCTGTGGTCGTGATGCGATAGATACAATTGAAGTGTGACCAGCCAGAAACCTTTCCACTGTCAGGCTGTCGTTCAGAGGGCTATGCTATGCTGTGCATCTGTTTGTCTTTAATTCTGTTTTATTCCCCCAATCTGATTTTAGCCGAATCCTATGCAATCCAAAACATTGTTGATACTAATATTGTAAATTAGTCTTTCATAAAGAAATGTTTTCTTTTCATTTTATTTCATTCTTTTGTTGACAGAAATTATCTACCAGAAAGATGTCAATTGGGAAAATTATTCGCCAGCTGACTCTGGTGTTGGAGTCGGCCGGTCTGGAAGCGAACGTGACGATGGAAGTCATCCTGATGATTGCCAACCTGCAGACGCTAGGAGTGCCCATCAGTTTGTCCTCTATCCCTGGCACAGTCTCAGCAGCTTTCGGAATTGTCCTCATTCCTGGTCTTGGGATTTTCATGGACCGCCTGGCGTCATCAACTCCTTCCAAAGCGCGGATTTTAGTCTTTGTGACTTGTTTACAGCTTTTAGGAGTCCTCTGTGTTTTCTTTGGCAATTTAATAAAATTAATAGAGCCTGACGAAGGTTCAGGGACATACAACATGTCTGATATCTTCAACTCGTCTGTTGTTGAGAGTCAGGTGGGCGAGGCGGACAGCGTTACCGAAAGAGCAGCATTGGCCACGAACTCACCACAGAACGATACCAGACCGTGGGTGTCCATGGGTACTGCGGTGCAGGAGGAGGGGATCCCGTACTACGCCATCATGGTCATGGTTGGGTTTGCCTGTGTTGACTGTGGATACGACGCCAGCAGCTGCTTCCTCAAGACATTCGCTCTGGCGTGCACTCCATCAGAAGATCATTCCAGCATTATTATCAAAAGTGTTCTTGTCTCCTCTTTTGGTAAGTCTTTTTTACTTCTCTAACATGACGTTTTTTTTTCTGTTAATCTTTTAAAATATGTTTTCCCCACCCCCAAACCTGACAATCCGCGTTTGTCAGTACGAGGTGGTGTAAGATTTATGTCCGAATTCTATAATTAGATTGATAACTTAAAATTTCTCTTTGAAACCACACATTTGTTTTTTACTCAAAGGTTTGGGATACATTTGTTCAAAAGTTTGATAATACAACACACACACACACACACACACACACACACACACACACACACACACACACACTATATATATATATATATATATATATATATATATATATATATATATATATATATATATAATATATTGTTCTGGTAGCATCGACCTTGGGGTCACTTTTCTCAAAGAAACTGCACACTATTCAGACCTCAAAATTGAAAAGAAGGTAGCATTTAGTGATCCTAAGAACACGACAGAGCTGGATTTTGAACGTAAGAATTTATAAAATAAGTTTTCTATCTCTACGTATCGTTATAGAATACCCCAGAATCAAGCCAATGATTTAAGTACATACAAACACACGTCATATTTGTCAATAAGAAGAACATTAATGGTCAGTGCTTTAACATTTCAACCAAGATTGAATGGAATGCAACATTTTTCAGCTTCTTCAAAATCAACCGTTATGTATATTTGTGCTTTGAAGATCAGATTCATTTAAAACTGACAGAGCGAAACAAATTCACGGTAGGTGGTGGCTATTAAAATTGTGTGCCACAGGTCTTGATTCAACCCTGACAAACTTGAATATGCCATGAGAAATTTTAAATACAATATCCATTTTGCATGTTTCAGGGTCGAATCTTTGAACCTCATGTTCATCATTGAGTTTCAGTTATTCGACTGTCTGAATCTGGTTCTGTAGACTGTCTGTTATAAATATACCCAAAAGAAACAATCGAAGGGGGTTCAAGTCAGGAGAATGTGGTGACCATTCAGTTATAAGCGTTCGAAGTATAAATCATTATGCAAACCTTTTTCGCTAAAATACAAAGGTCACTCTTGCCATATGAGGTGTGGCCCAACCATGCTGGAACAAGGCCTTCTCAACAGCATAATTGAGCATAACCACATTTCCTACAGAAACTTCTCCAAAATTGTTCTCTACACATGAGCAGATGTCCATGTGATGTGACAACCGTGGGTTCACCGACCTCGTCCTGAAACCTAAATGTGTCGCCCCTGTAGCTCGACGCTTTTTATTGAAGAAGCGGAGTTTTACGTTTCACCGAATTTGGGTTCTTTTTTTAAACTTGATAGTTCTCGAAAATGCATATACGTTTTCCTCATATTGACACATTTATTTGACGTCATCTTGGATTAATTTTGTTTGACCCAAATGTTGTTTAAATTGGTGCAGAGACCTTCGAGTTACGTTCGTATCTCTCTTTTTTTGACACCTTATAAAATAATAGTCTCTTTAAGAACATTCCATTAAAGAACAAAATTTCCCCAGGAATCTGATCTTTCATGAAACGGATTTTCTTCTGGATAATTTGCGTTCCTAAGCAAACGCGCTCTTAAAAAAAAAAATCCGTGAAAGTGGGAGGTTGAAACACTTTTCTGTCCTACTCTAGCCCAGCCGTAACTAATAACACGTTATTAGAAGGAAACAGGTAAGAAAGCGAAGTGTGGGAAAAGGGCGTGGTGTCGACATGGACTAGAGAAGGACTAATTAATCTTCACATTGCATACACACGAACACAGGCCTATTTCACCTCTGCTGATCTGGTCAGACGCAAAGTGGTTTTCGGTTGTTCCTTTCTCGTGGGCAAAGCGGTCGAATGTCTTGCATAATCCGAGCCATTGAGTTGCCATTTTTTCTCTTTGCTGACGTAGCATTGCGACTGGTTCTGTTTCATGTTTCACTGTATTTCTCCCAAAATTTGCAGCCACTTACATGTAATATGAATGCATTTCAAGCTTAACATTTACAAACATGAGTACATACCCCCGCCCCCTCATTTGTTCTCTATTTCCCTTGGGCATAAGTCGTATCTCCGTTGGGTCGTATTGCATTATTTCATTCTATGATAAACAATTTAGTTAACCAGGACTCCCAGAGTACATCACTTAGAAATCTCCCAAAGAACCCGATCCGCTGAAAAATGCGCTTTTTTGTCTGCCGATGTTTTAAGACGGAAACCATACCCCCCCCACAAAACAAACAAAACAACAACAAACCCAGCACACACACACACAGACACACACACATATGTATAAACTACACAAATACATATATACAAGGACACAGAGAGAAGACTAGAGGCCGTTGAAATGTGATATTTAACGAAAATACTCAGAATCTCTTGGACAGAGAAGAAAACAAATTGAGAGTGCTTTAGATAGCATGTTGTGAAATATTTTAAATCAAAACCATTAGATAAGATAATTGAGATTCTTTGGCAACACAAATACAGGGCGATTAAAAAAGAATTAACTGACTTCATTAGGCTACGTAATATTTTGAGAAGGAAAAGTGATTTTTTTAAAAAGCAACTCGAGCTAAGTCACACGTATTGTGCTCAATCAAATGATATTTCCTGTCTTATAAATGTTTCATGTGGACACCACCAACAGCATGGGCAACATCAACGCAGTAAAATATTCCTGACGTGTTTCAGCATCAGTGTCCACTAATTTGATCGCTGTTTTTATTCGATGTTTAAGGAAATCAAGGTTAGTGGAAGCGGTGTAACATAAAAATGATCTTTTACACTAGAAAAAAATATCCACACACGGTGAAGTGTGGGGATCTGGCAGGTCAAGCAGAGAGAGCAAAGTCTTGGGCCCCTTCCCGACTTTTTCACTTTAAAATGTATATTATACTGTCATCTGTGGTGTAGCAGTTGGGCGTTTTGCTGTAGCATGCAAGAGACACTAGTTCGATTCCCGAGTGGGGAGACGTTTTTATCGAGGATGTATTTTTTTTGGTGTGTGTGTGTGTGTGTGTGTGTGTGTGTGTGTGTGTGTGTGTGTGTGTGTGTGT